TACTAAAGAGCAACATCCGTCACAATCACAACACAGGACAGACTTCCATGCCTCAAAACCAGTGGAAACTGTGCAAAAGTTATTTTCATGATGGGGCTTAAATACAAGCCTTAAAACCTGGAACAGAGTACATGCCCCAGAGAACAACCAACCATCCAAGTGTAAGGAAAGTGCTATTTCATTGTCAAACATTTGTGATTTTGTTGTCCTGAGAGGATTTATTCTGGGGAGAAATGAGACAGGCATTGTGACCCTGGATAGTTTCTTCATCAAGGGAGTATCCTTGGGATTCACTAGTTGTACTGGTATAATGCATTATTTCACCAATTCTCACACAATTCCCCATGTCAGAGAATTTATAGGAAAAATAAATTAGTCTCTGATTGTCCAAGATTAGCTTCTGGTCTTGCATACTGTGGAAGAATTACAAGTCAGAATATGTTAAAACTCATGACATGTCAAAGGTACAGGGATTTTTGAAAAGATCCAGTTATCTTCAGGTTGTAAAGTGTCTCATTCTTTAATATTTCTTGGAAAGTACTCTGCTTGTCTTGGGTTCTCTGCCTTCCTTACAGGCCTCATGGCTGTGTCCAGAAAGGAACCCTTAGGAGCAAAGGCCTTCATGAAATGAGGATCATTGCTGTCCTTGCTCCTGGAGGTGGAGAACACTCCTTGTTAAAAGTCAATATTATCTGCATCAAAGAGTATTTCAAAGGGGCTGAGCAGGATGTAGAATTAGGATGTCAGTCATCCTGTCTGTGGCGGTCTGTGCCCCCTTGTCCATATTGTCCATAGTGGAATGGGGTAAGGAACACTCTACAAACTGCCTGAAGTAGGGCAGCCAAGACTGTAGGGACTGGGCTTTTTATTGGAGAAGAGGAGTGTGATCTTAGGGACTGATTATATCCAGGAAGAATGCAGGGAAATGGTGGCCATCCTGGGGCAATATTCATAAAGTAAGTTCTATACTATCTGTATATCATTATTTTAAAATTAATTCACATTCAGTTACACAAATCTTTTGAATTTGAAGGTAAATTAAGACATTATGTTCTTCCTTTTTTTCTTATCTCATTAGACATTCTTCTTAGATGCTTTTTCTCAGTCTGATTTTTTTTCTGAGAATAATGCAGCTTACTTGCCCCAGCACCTGCAGGAGAGGCCCTGCCGGGTGTCCCAGAGTTGTGAGCTAATTCTCATTCAGATGCACTGAACCACAAATGGCATTTCCCCTAGGAGAACCCCATGCAACCAGCAGAGAACCTCCTTGAATAGATAAGGGCAGTACACCCCAAAAAGGGATTTATAGAGGAGTATCCCACTGACACCAACCACTTCCCAGTGTGGCCAGATAAAACCCCACCGACCTGAGACCCTCACATGGGCCATACAGCCATGTCATCCTGACTATAGTACCTCCACCTTACACCACTGCACCCTGCATGCTCCAGAGTACATAAGGTGGAACCCATATTGGATCTGAGAGGGCTGGTCAAAGAGATTTTCTTCAGGAGGATTCACAAAACTGTGGAAAACTTCCTCCCCAGGGAATCCTGGAGTATTGAGGAGGCTCTTACTTATCCCTAATGGGGGTAACTGACAAAATCAGACAATTCAGGACGGTCTACTCTGACCCACCAGAAAGCTAGTAAGTACCTCAACACATGAAAGATTAGAGGAGCCTCCTAGAATTGTATCTGAGGTGAGCTGGTCTGATCACTACCTCCACACCAGGGAAAAAATAGAGGCAAAGACAAGGAGTACTCGGCATCTTTAAAACATTCCAAACCCCGATAGAGTCCAAATCAGGAAGATCCAAGAACACTCCCCACTTTGGCATGGAATATCATAAATACTTCTAATGTCAATTTTTATCTTACTGATATTGCATTTCATATTGAATGGGCATGTTCTGTTTATTTGGCATTGCAGCCTTCACCTCAATTGATAGTATTTCCTGTTTTAAAGCATTAACTAGAAGCATTATATCTTTGCTTTCCTAATGTATATTTATACTTGCTCCTCTTAATTTCATGTTTGCTTCTTGTATTACCTACTCCTGCCTCAAATAACCTCACATTGATTCACCTTTTTTACCTTAGTTTGTGTTATTTTATCTTTTCTTCTTTTCCATTTTTTTCTCTTCTCCCCTTTGTAGCCCCTATAGAATATAATAGCAATTTTACTATCTTTAAGAACTACTTTCTCAACCTACTGAAGAACACTAATATGGACTGGAAAAAAATATTTGTCAGTGCCTCTCCAACAGAAGAGATTAATATCCATAGTGTATTAAAAACTCAAAAAGCTTCACACCAAAAAGATAAAGAATGAATAGCCCAAACAATAAATGTGCACAAGAACCAAATAGACATTTCTCAAAAGAAGAAACAAGAAAATGTAAAAACTACATTGAAGACTTATCCTCACTCCCAGTTAGGATGGCAATCAATAAGATTGCAATTAATGATAAGTGCAGACAAAGGTGTTAGAAAAAGGTATGTGTGTATTTTTCATGGGACTACAAGTTGGAATGACCACTTTGGAAATCAGTTTTGAAGATTCCTTGGAAGACTACGAAGGGAACAATAATATGACCCACCAATTCCACTCCTCAGTGACTGTACAAAAGAACTAAAATCAGCACACCATAATGATTCTTTCCTATCGATCCTTATAGCAATGAAATTCACAGTAGCCAAGTTATGGAACCAGATCGAGTGCCCATCAAAAGATGAATGGATAAAGAAAATGTGAATATGTATTGTGTATACATTTACTTCATATATATATATATATATACACACACACACACACACACAAATACAATATGTCTAGAAAATACTGTATATACACCAATGTGCACACACAATGCAGTTTTACTCAGCCATAAAGAAGAATGAAGTCATAGAATTTGTTTGCAAATGCACAGAACTGGAAAACATCAGGCTAAGTGAAATAAGCCAGACTGGATTTTTTTCTCCATTATGTAGAAGCTAGAGTAATATAAGGGCAAAAAGGGAGGCTTCCATGAAAAGAGAATGGAGAACTTTAGAGTGTAGGAAGGGCACTGGGTGGGGAAGGACAGGAAAAGGGAAGAACTGCTGAATATAATTGAGCAGATTATGCTCTGTACACATATGAGCATACCACAGTGAATTTCACCTTTATATATAAAGCACCAAAAAATAGATATGATAAAGACCATTAGAGTAGATAAAGCAACAGGGAAAAGGAAGGTAGGAAAAGAGGGTGTACTGGGGATATTCCATGCAGTTATGATGGTGTCAAAATGAACCACTATTTTGTGTGACTATAATGCATCCACAAAAACATTTTTAAACAGAAATTGATTTTTCCCACATATTTTGCCCCTCAGAAAAACATTGGATTACTCATCAGGCTCATTCTATTTATCCAGATGGTGCTTTCAGTGCAGAGGCCTCTGTGACCGGGACCTGTGCTGCAGGGAGGCGGCCAGCTCCTGAGATATGGGTCTGTGACTGTGACCTCACCTGTCCTGGGACCCGCAATTTTCTCTGTGCCTGTAGCAGCCAGCTAGGGGAGCTGAGGACACTGTGGAAAACTTCCTCCCCAGGGAATCCTGGAGTATTGAGGAGGCTCTTACTTATCCCTGATCTCTTGAGGGCAGATAGGAGGTCACATGGAGATGGCAGGGAATCCTGAGGTCTGTCATGGGAGGGACTGGCAGTAAGCTATACCTATCCGTTGCATTCCTCACTTCCGTGTGACGTTTTCTACTCCAAATATAGTTAAGTTTTATTCATTTCTCCACACTGTTCAGTAGTGGCACCACCATTTAGACTATTACTAGGTGCATAGCATTTGATAAAATACCCGTTAAAGATTTTAAAACACAGCAAGGGAAGAACATGACGCTGATAGATCACCTTGGAAGTCATTGTACTCATCTGCCTAATGCAAGTCAGTTAACTTCCCTCATTTGCACAATTTATTGCCAACTAATACCAAAATTTTGTGGATAAGTATACCCATACTGATGTCATCAGTGAACGAAGGGAGAAACACAACAATATTTGTTAAACAACACAGAATGTTCCTTCACCAAGACAGCAGCAGGATCAGATGCTTCAACAGGCCAGACCTACCATTTCTTTAAGTATCAGATCTGCCAGGGGGCCACTAACATCATCTCAGCAGCCTTAAGGGGTGACCACAGAAAAGAAGTCCTTCCTATTTTTTGTAATCCCTCCAACCCTGCAAGGACAATTGTTATAGTGAATCATCTTAATAAATGCTGTGAGGCTTACCATTCAGGTCAAGTCCTGTGGCAGGAAAGTAGAAGGTTTGGGGCAGTGACAGTGCACGGGTGTGATACAGAAGTGGTAAGCAAGAGGTCACAGAGAACCGGGGGACACAGGGACACGATGGTGGTGAAGATCATGGGATGCTAAGGAAATACTGAGGGGGGAAACAGAGCAGGTAGAAGGGGAAACGGCAAAAGCTCGTCGAATGTCCAGAAAGAGGTATGGATTGGGCATACAGGGGGCAAAGAGCTAAGGGACGTTAGGGACATGGTGCCTGCCAGTTAATAGAGACATGGGGTGTATGATTACAAGGGAATGAAGGGGCTCCTGGGGATGAGCAGAGAGCAATGATAAAGGTGAAGGTCACTGGCTGGAAAAATTCATAGAATTAGTGTCTTTAAGGCATTAATATCTACAGGTAGTGGGAGGCTTGTTAATATGCGTGGAGAATGATGTCCTGGATAAAGTAGTTGTTCAAATGGGCCTAGAGGGTGAGTCTGGGGAGAGAGAATGCATCTCAAGGGTGGGAAATTAGGCACAGGGCAATGAAGAAGCTGGGGAAAGAAGTGGGTTGAGAGAGGAACAGAGGCCGGGACAACCAAGAACAGTAGAAACATCAGGAAAAAAAGGTTAAAACCTGTGACTTACGACTTCAGGATGAATGAAGAGGTACAGTTTTGACAACCATGTGGTGTACTTACACTATAAAGCACATGAAAAGACAGCAAAAAAACCAGGGTAAGCCCTTGATTTAGGACCAGGCACATGGGAAAGAAATAATGTGGAGAGGTGTGCACCCAGGAGAGAGATGGAGGACGATGGGACCGGTTAAGATTCACGTTCTCTTTTCTGTGACAGTTAAACCTGTTGTCTGAGTTTCCTCATATGTAACAAAAATGTGTTTTCTTGCTGTAATCTAAAAACTAAATTTTATATTGTGAAGTAAGGTAGAGCCATTTTCAAGTCACAAAATCATGTGGTTAAATGTTGACATGTTGAGCCCCCTATCAAACCCCCTTTGTTCTCAGTCTTCCAATTATAATGCCTCTGGTGTAGTCGGTGACCCATTGTTAACTATAGTCCTGCCCCATCCACTCGCCAATTTTAAATTAGTCAATCCTGTACATTGTAACCTGAGCTCCTCCCATCCAAGCTAGGGGCAGTGCTGCATCTGGGATAAAAACGTGGGCACACTTCCTGCCCAGTGCGCTAGCTTGCCAGATTTGGGCGGGAGTAGCACACCCTTCTGTAGAAGTAACATTTGCCTTGTCAATTAACTTTTGAGCAGATGACTGATTTCTTGTTGCATCCCAATATTTCTAACACTATCACTTCACAGTTACCTGGTGTGTGGGTGGGGGCGGGTAAGGACATTTAAGAGCTCTGCAGATTCCAACTGCACAACACTGTCTTACTAACTACGGTCTCCACACTGTTCAGTAGATCCCCAGGGTACATTCATGTTGTAATGGAATTTGGTGCACTTTGACCATCCCCGCAATGTCCCTCACTAACCACCACTTTACAACTCTCATTCCACTCTGTTTCTGTGAAGGTGACTACTGTAGATTCCACCTGAGATCGTAGAGTGCTTGTGTTTAATTATTGTCACCTCACTTCCTCCAGGCTCATTTATGTCAGCACAGTGGCGGGATTTCCCTGGTAGAAGGCTCAGTACCTTTCCCCTGAGTGTTGATGGACACAGCACCTCACCTGCACACCTGCACACTCTGGTGGACACCACGTCTCACCTTGCTGCTGATTGCCTGTCGTGAACAGTGCTGCAGTGAACCTGGAGGTGCAGGCGTCTTGTTGACTCTGAATACTTTCCTTTAGATGCACAGCAGGGAGTGGGATTGCTGCCCACAGGTGAGTTTTACTCTACATTTTCAGAGGCGTCCTCCTGCACTTTTCCATGGTGGGGTGCAGGTTACCTGATCTCCCACATAATCTGCCCAAGATTGACTTGCCCCATATTCCTGCCAACACCGTTTTCTCATATTAACCATCCCAACACTTGTGAGGTAATATCTCCTTGTATTTTTGTGCACTTGCGTGATTATTAGACAGTATGAGACCAATTAATGTATCTTTCTCCTGCATTGTCTTTTTTAGGAAAAATATCTACTAAAATACTTTTTTTTAATCAGAAAAGGCATTTATTAAAATTTTAACAGGGAGTTCACAAAGGGACCACAGGAGGACCAGCTAGAAATGGATAGAAACGAGAGCAGCTCTTAGGAACACACAAGGAAATAAGAGCAAGAAGAAACAAAATAAGGGAAATTAGAAAAATTTGAAGTTCACTGCAGATAGCTTTCGTTGACAAGTCCTTTGCATACAAGTTCTCTTCTACTAAAAAGGAAGGAGATGGACCGGAGGCCTTGTTTCCTCCCGGAAACACTGGATAGTCGTCTAAAGACAACTGGGTATGTGAGTCATCCTGGTGTTTCGGATGATTAGAGGTGAAGTTAAACTCCCACATTCTCAGGTCCGTGGAGGTGATGCACCAACTGCTGAAAAAGCCTGAGCGGATGGAGCCCAGCTGCACAAGGGCCGTGGCTTCGGATTGAGCAGGTAGGGACCCATGTGCTGTAGGCTGTGGAACTCTGGTGAGTGATTTCAACGTTTCTGACCCTTAGTGTCCTCATCTGGGGTGGGCGGATCATTTCCCAAAATGGCTTGCTCACAGGGCTGGCATGTTGAACATGCTGTTAACAAGACACCTCAGTTTCCTTCCATATGGACCTCTTACTTCTGCAGTATTCTTCTGGTCACATGGACCAAACCATAGGAGAAGAATCCTTTCACAATATTATTAATTCATGGCTCTGCTGGGGCCCCAAGGTCCAGCATGTGTTCAGAGGACAATATTCTGGAGTCTGAAGCTGTGGACCTCTGACTCAAGAGCCCGGTGATGTTGATGCAGAATAGTAATGTAACTTCTCATCTGCTTTTCTTACTCTGTCTGAGAGTTTTCTTGATAGGCCTGGACTGATGCTAAATGCGGAAGAGTGATGTTTATCACTGTCGTTAGAGAACACTTGTAGGCTGGAAAGCTGGAAGGCAGGGTTTGAAGGTCAGCTTATCAGTATTCAGAGAGTAGCCTCTTCCATACAGAGATCTCTGGGGAGAACATGGGTCACCACTGGATTCCATCTCTTTAACATTGGAGGTTAAAAACATCTGCATGGCTGAACATCAGTATCTGTAAATTTTCATCTGGTCAGGTTCTGTTCTGTTTGGAAGGCAAGTCTGGCTGCCCAACCATTGGAAGCTGGCCAGGTGAAGATGGCTGTGGGCTTTCAATATTCAGTAGGGTTTCCAGCTCTCTACTGAATTCATGTCCCTCCAACTTGTTACTCCATGCAGAGAGTGAACTTCCAATGTTCTGCTTGTTTTGAATGTCAGACTTGATTCCACTCTCAGATAGGGCGCGAGGACAAGCTCATTGACTCCATCTGTGATGCAAGAAGTGGGAGTGGTCTAACATACTTTGTAAAACAATGAATTTCACTGTGTATGTCAAAGCGGACGATATAAGATAGAGAATAAAATGGTTACTAGAAAGAAACAAACTAACTGATCCCTCATCTCTCAGAGATACACATATTCCCCCATGTCAAGAACAGTTATAATCTACACTTTAAAAAACTATGGAGTATGAGAAGGGTTTTTCACTTATTATTGGCATTGGAGTATGAGAGCCCTCAACAAAAGTGTGAGAAAGAAATGGGTGCTTAGGCTGGGGTTGTGGCTCAGTGGTAGCAGGCTTGCCCAGCACACATGAGCCACTGGGTTCGGTCCTCGGCACCACCTAAAAAAAATGAAATAAAGATTGTGTGTTCACCTAAAAATAAAAAATAAATATTAAATTTACATTGTTTTAACTAATACTTAAAATTTTACACATTTTTAGGTTCCAAAGATATTCAAATACAATGTGCACATTTGTCAATCTTTGCATCAGATTAAGCATATCTCCTCAAACAGAATCTCATATGACAAAAAATCAAAATATTTTCCCAGAGGTTTTACAATACATATGACAAGAGATGAACACAGGTCATATAATAAGAAACTATGTTTAATAGAACAAATTATTGACTCTAAAGAGGGAAATATAAATGATATTCATGAAAATAGGAGTATCTTCTTGGTTGAAATTCATGGAATCATTTGGTAAACTCTTTGGCAAAATATTCTAAGGCCAAGGAGGTGTAAACCTATGACCAATAAGGGTACCACTACACACATACCAGCAGAACTTCTGACAATTATCATCAAAATTTGTTGCCAGTGCCCATCATGATGCTCCAAACTAAAGTGCACATGTTGGACTAGAGTGATTTTGCTGCCATCATCGAATACCTAAGGCTGGGTACTTGATACTGAAATTTATTTAGCTCACACTTCTTCAGATTCAGGAACACAGCACCAGCATCTGCTCAGCTCTGGTGAGGGCCTCACAGCAGATGGAATCACAATGGTGGGAGCACATGCAGAAGAGACCACAGGGCAGGACAGAGCGAGACAAAGAGGAGACACCTGCACTCAATGTAGGACCGCCCATTCTCATGAGAACTACTATACTCCAGGAGATCAGCATTTACCCTTCCAAGGATAAACCCAACCATCTTTTCCTTGCCTCCACTCCAAAGGTTCCAACACCCAATGTCATCATACTGGGAACAAAGCTTCCAATACATGAAATTTTAGGGAAAAAACTTGTGTCATATCCACACAATTGCACGTGTGTATCAAGAAAGGAATGCATAAATGCGTTATTTGATATTCCTGAAGTGGAATTCTATTACCAATAGGTAAAAACAAATTTTAAAGCATTTGGAATTTTCAAAGTCAAACGTATGAGAATTCATGCTGAACTACTTCATTTATATAAAGCACAAAAGAGGTAAAAGTGATCCATGCTGTTAGATGTCACATACTGATCCCTCTTGGCAGAGGCAAGAGGAGGAGTCTTTAAGACTGACAGTATAGGTTTTGGTGCAGAAGTTGATTGCAGAGGTGTGTGTTGTTTGTAAAATTTCATTGTATGATGCGTGTCTGAATTGTACATAACATTGCTCTTAAGATGCATATCAGTAACTTAAAAATCAGTTGCAACAAGAAAAGAAAAATAGTACCTAATATCCTATATTGCCAAGGTGGACAGTAAATGTGTTAATTTTACATTCTGATTCATTTTTTTTAAAGATAAAATGTATATTGTGGATTAACAGTACAAATTAATGTAGAAAACTCAACACAGTACCTATTGCTTGCCTTTAAGCCCTGTACACTGTTAAACATAAAGGACTAATTTCATCTGCTATAGGCAAATATTATTGTTGGACTATATTCACTAAGATAATTCTTTCGAAAGACACAGCTAAGACACAAATATGAAAGTAGATGACTAAAAAACTATGTTACACTTATTATAAATGCTAATCAATCAGAATAGCAAGAAAATATAAAAAGATTTTATGTGAAATCAGTTTGAAATACATTTATTTATTTATTTATTTATTTATTTATTTATTTATTACTGGGGATTGAATTCAGGGGCACTTGTCCACTGAGACATATCCCCAGCCCTATTTTATATTTTATTCAGAGACAGGGTCTCACTGAGTTGCTTAGTGCCTCACTTTTTGATGAGGCTTGCTTTGAACTTGCAATCCTCCTGCCTCAGCCTCCCAAGCCACTGGGATTATAGGCATGCACCACCAAGCCCAGTATTTAATTGTTGTTATTAAAGCTGAAATTTGCGTTTCTTTCATACAATTTCACAGAAGTGTTTCTTGGTAAATACTAGCATAATTGAGGAGATATGCACGCATCCATGCTCATGTACACAAACACACACACAGACACATTCATAATATACAAAAGAGCATGTATATAAACACCATTTGCATACAATATGATTGCTTACAACTGTGCTTACAATATTGTAAGAATGACTAAAGAACTCAGAACTTTGCAAAACCTTAGAATTTACATGTTCCTCATAAAATAGGGGTTTTTTCATTTCTTATCCACATAAGGGAGAGTGTGAATGTACTGGAGTCTCGCGAGCAGAATGGGACTGACAGCTGGGAAACACCCAGACTACTGCAGCTGTGTTCACCAGGAACCAGTTGGGATAATAAATGCAAAACTGAAAGATGCAGGAAAGTGTATAAAAAAAAAAAAAAAAAAAGACAAAGGTGCTCACAGGAAGGAGGATGATTTGGGGGACTCAGGACCCAGGGGAGAACCTGGGGAGCTGGACTTATGAAGGTGCTGTATTCTCTGCTGGTGCCTGTGCAGGATGAGCACCATGGAGCTGCTGGCCCAGAGCATGAGCCCCCCCCACACCCCCCACCCACACACACGACATCAGGGAATGTTAGCAATGCTGCCTGCAGTGCGTCTGTGGTTGTGTCATGACGAACACTAGAACACTCTCCAAAATCTTTTAGGATTGTGAAGTTTTTGGTGCTCTTTTTTCCAGTCATGTACATAAGAAAATTAATATTTGCAAGGAGTTACAAAATTCTGCTCAGGTATATGGAGAAGCCAATGTACTTGAGAGCCTTTACTTTAAGCACTGACCACCTCAGGCTGGTCTCTGGGCCTATTTGAAATTCAGATGGCCCAAATCATTCCAATTAAGAGGACACACATTAATAGACAGGAGATCCAGAAGCAGATCTTTAATATTACTGCACACCAGGTGGACCTCCCACACCAAACCAGAACATTGTATCCTAGGGCAGTAGGAAACGCATCTCTTAAAATCCACAAGGAACATCTATCTACAGGAGGGTCCATAATTAGGTCACACACATCTTCAAATTCAGTTTCAGAAGCTTGAAAGGACCCCAATTTTCTTCCTTTGCACAATGAAATAAATACAGAAGCTGAGTGCAGAAGAAAAATTAACACCCCCAAATATGGAGAAATGAAACACTTCATTCTTAACCAACCAATGTAACAATGGGAAAAGGATTCAGAAAACATCTGAAACAAAAGCAAAACAAAAACAAACACACCAAAACTCAGGAAATGTAGTGAAGAAAAAAAAAAGAAAATAGGAGAATGTTAGTGTAATTAGACTTTACAACAAGGTCAAAGAAACCCAGGACAGCTGACTACGCATCTCAAGAGGAAATGAGCCAACTAAAGCAAAGGGAAGGAAACACTGAGCACTCTAGCAGAGGTTGCTGGTAGAGAGGACAGGAACCCCACCAAGCAGCAGGTTTACTTTTTTAAAAGGTTAACAAAAATGACAAAGGGACTCCCAGGACCATGCCCAGTGGTGCCTCCTCATGGGTTCCCTGCCACCAGGTCACAATGGGATGGAATCTAAGTGTAGAGGAGAGGGGCTGAGGGAGGCCCAGGGGAGTGCAGAGTCACCTGAGGCCAGCAACTCCCAACCCAGCACTGCACAGGGGACTCAGGACCACCTGACAGCATCACTGTACCTCAGTGACAGACATCCCTGACTCCTTTTCTTTCCTCCTCCTCTTCAGGGCTGTTTCCTCGGGTAACACGAGTCTTTACAAGTCAATCCTGGAAGGAGGAAACATACTGTTTAAGGCTCAGAATCATCACACCCTTCCTATGCCACAGCCACACACACAGGCAGGACCTCAGCATGTGGGAAGATGGTCCCCAGCTGTCCACTGCACCAGGGACACCCAGGCATAGTACAGTCCTGCAGAAAGGTGCACAGGAGACTTCTGTGACTCCATTCTTTCGACCTCATTTCCCTGCTGGTGAAGCACACACAGGCTGCAGCAGTGGGGAACTGGGCAGCACTGGGCTCCCATTCAGGACACAGACTGGCCCTGACCAATCTGAACGTCAGAGCAGCCCCCCTCACCTCTCCTGGGATCTCAGGCTGATCTCAGCCCTCAGGATGGAGGACACAGAGCTGGTACTCAATGCTGCACAGAAGAAAATCAACATCAACCTTAAGTATTATTAAGGATGGGCACCAGCCTCACTCCATCAGTACGATGCCACTTAGTGGACATATTTATTGCAAAGTACCTCAGCACTCTAAAGGCAGCCAGGGTTGAACATGTACCAGAGGGGAAGGCCCAGCCCATTGCCCATGCCCTTCCATCATGATGAGTACATGGCCCAAAGCAGGTGGCAGCCCATCAGGGGTTGGAACCCATGAGTCTGAAACCGTGAGTCAAAACAAATCTTTCCTCCTTGTTCTCAGGTGTTTTGTCACAGCAACAAACACAATGAATGACCTGGCAAAATTGTTTAACCATATCTATTATCTACCAAACATTTAAAACAATAGTTTTCATGGAACTACCATACAAACGTTAGGTAACTTGTCTAAACAGTATTTCAAAAACATTTTCAACAATCATACTGTAGAATGGGACCTACAGGTGCATCAGGAAATGCAAATTTGACATGACAAAAATTGTAAGTTCCTCTATGCCAACCAAGAGCCCAGAGAATCAGGAGTAAACACTCAGGGTTGTGCTGGAGTCTGACCCATTTTGATGTTTATTGTTGACACCTTTCAAGTCTCACTGCTCCCTTTCTATGATGCCATCTGGGCAAGATGCTGATAAACCCTAAGTGTTCCCTTCTTCGGGCAGCAGCTGGGAGTTCTAAAGATGACCAGGTTCCCTCACTCCAGCACCACCCAGGACCCCCATAAGAGGAGGCAGCCACTTCTGGACAAGTGTAGCAAGTCCACCCTGCTTCCCTGGAAGGCCTCCTTATGCTGTGAAGTCTGCAAACACTTCAGTGTTTGGCTTCGCCATTCCTGACAAACCAGCCCAACTGGGTGGGGTTCGGCCCTGAGTTGGGACTGGTCAGAAGTGCAAACTAGCAAAAATGTTAGGGGCAAATACATGAGTTTCCACTTCACAAACAAGAGAAATTCCACCCTGGGTGTTCATTCTGAAGTGGAAACTCATGAACGTTGACCTTTTCAGTATATCTCTCTCACAAGCACTTTAAGAATAAAAAGATATTTTTATCCTTATTCCCTGAATTTTCTTATGTTTCATATTCTTGCTGTATTTCAATTTTCACATTTATGTAAATTAAGGTGAATTCCATGCAGTTTTGTTAAAAAATGTATCATAAATCTCATGTAATAAAATTTAGTCTCTTTTTTATTATTACCAACAATCATGTTCCTTTCCTCATTAGCACAGAAGAAATAATACAGTGCATGTTCCATAACAGTGAGGGCAGAATGTCAGTCTGAACTACATTTTGTACTTTCATTATACACAGTAAGTATCCTAGTCAGACTACAGAGATGGGAACACAGCATTTCTCCAAGGGATTGTGCTTCTACTAAGTGTAGAAAGAAAATATATGTGAACATGAACAATCACTTTACAAAGAAAAACATGAGGTATTTCCAATGGGAACAAATGAAGGGGAGAACATTGGGTGTCCTGTGCACAGTAAAAAGGACACGTACATCATGTCTGTCTGATTTTGCCAGAATAAATCCTCTCAGGACAAGAAAATCGCAAATGTTTGAAAAAGAAACAGTACATTCCTTACACTTGGATGGTTGCTCTCTGGGGCACATGATTAATTTGGGCACAAATTAAATCATTCCTCCTTGTTCTCTGGTGTTTTGTCACAGCTTCCTCAAAGGTGTCCCTTTGATGCCCACTGGTTCTGAGGCATGGAAGTCTGTGCTATGTGCTGTGATTGTGACGGATGTTGCTCTTTAGTGTGGACTCTGA